TTGTTGAGCATAAGAAAAGTTCAGCAACATAATGTCATTGAGTCAAAGACTGAACATCACCCGAGCTCTAAGCTGAGGCACAAATAGTAATTATCTGTATTCCATTCTTATCAGATGCTTCTTAGACATAATTTATTACTTTGAATTGCCTTTATCTGATTACTAATAAAATGTCATGGAAGATTAAAATTGCAGACCTCTACAACAAAACTTTCTATTTTAATTTCAATAGCTAATGTTAGTTAGAAACGATTTTCAATCTCCTTAGATATTCATGTGAAGGATATTAATTTTCTCCACTAGTAGAGTATACACAAGGTAAAAATAATGATAGTTTTTTTTAAGAAAAATGAAATGCTCTTCAGCCAAAACTCACCAAGAATTAGAATGCATTTTTCTAATTGATTCTGCAGTTGTCTCTAGATTTCAAATTTTACTAGGGCATAAGCCCTGGTGTACCCTTAGTACTTAACAAAGCACTTGGCAGAAATATCAACTCAGACATAATTATCTCAGGCAAGTTGAATGGAATTGTTTTAATCCATGTTTGAAATTTATTATTTAAATAGACTGTAGTCTCTTGTTTACTCACTGTTTCCTACCTACTGGCTGTTCAGTGCATGAGGTTTAACAAGTATATTCATAACATGAAAGGATTCCATAAGATGAATAGGTGTTCACTACATATCATTAAGTTTTGTTAGAGAAACACTGAGTAGCACTTTACTAAACTCTTCTATTATTTTCCTAGAATTCAAACAACTAAATATCGCACCTGAATTTCTTAAACTTTATATATTTATTAGAAAGAGACAAGGCTAGCTCTGTCAATTGGGTTATCAAGCTAGAAACATTATTTTAAACAAGGGAAAATTTATTTAGTGATGTAAATGCTTCCAAAGCTCTGGAAGAGCTCCTGGTAAGTCTTGCAAGTTGCACGTCCACAGGGACTCAGAGCCATACAGAACTGGTCCCCCGCCACTTCCAGTTCCGAGACTGCAAGTAGAGTTTTCACTGTTGCCGGACAAGTGGACACCAAAGACACCGCAGGAAAGGTTTTTAGTTTCAAGAGCTCATTCTCCAGCAACAGGACCCAGGAGCTGCCAGAGTTTGACTTCTGCCCCCTACAGCCCTCCAAAATGGATTCAAGCAAATCTAATTGGCTGCAACTCCTTTGGATTAAAAATGATAGCTACAAAAGAGTTGGAAACATACTTTTAGCTGGGGATATGTAGCTCAGAAACACAGCACCAGTCTGGTAAGGACAATGCCCAGAGTTCAATTCCTGGTATCAAAAAAGAAAAAAAAAAAAACTAAAAAAACAAACATACCTTTTTGCTTTCCAATCTCACCTAGTTTAAAAAAAAAAATCAGTGGCTGGGACTCCAGTTCACAAATATATATTAAAATCAATTCCTTTCAGTCATAGTTAAAACAGTTTAGTGGAGAAAACAAAATCAAAGGCTGGACTTAAAAAGCATGGGTAGGATAGTAGTTGTAACCTTTGTTAACATGAACAAGTCATGCTGTCTATGCGCCTTGGTTTCCACATGTTGAACTAACATCCAGGCCTCTCAACACGATTATTTTGAGGTTCACATTGTATGTAAATGTAAAAATACTTCAAAGATCGGCACCAAGCAATTGCAAAGACATATAACCAGTAGGAATGACTTTAAAAAATAAAATAAAATAAATCAGTTCAGTAACTGTTACAGCTCTAGTGCTTTATTATATAGATTTGTGTACAGTAGTTTCTTTAACATTAGTGATTTTGTTATATATAGCCTGAAGCTTACCATAATATCTTGGTCTTCACCTAACTAGGAATTTAATGTAACTGGAAATATGAGATAAAGTCAAACTCCCCTGAATATATTTTTTGCATGTCCTATTATAATATGACAGAATTCCTAGATCCTACAAGAAAAGATTGTCCTAAAAAATAAAAAGCTACCTTTGAATTTATTTGCTTTGCATTTATGTCTGTTTTGTAGAGTTTCAAGTGCTCTTTATATTTACACTGGAAACCCTTTCAAATTTTGTGATGTTTGTGGTCTTGTGGAAATAGGATGCTTAGTTCATTTTTCAGTTGGCTAAGTCTCTGTGACACGGGATTTAAGCTCCGGACAGGAAAGAATGAAGGTTTCTAGTTCAGTAAGCCCCTTGATAACAGGAAAAGAGTTACCAGGGAATTACTTTTCACTTTGTGTTATCGTTTAGACTGGAAAAATATAAACTCATAATTATCTAGTGTGATTTACTATTTTGATTGAGCTCCAGTTGCCAGTGTGATAAGATGACCTTACGAGAAGGATAGATTGAGCTCCTAGAAATCAATAAGTATAAAATCTCTTTACCGACCCTTCCTTCCCACTCACCAAATCAATTGCTTTTTACCTTCTTCTTTTTCATGAAAAGTTCTACAATTCATTTTACTACCTGTCAAAAGTGAAATGTCTTTTTCTTTGAACAGGTACAGTTTTGTTTGATATTTCCATTCCCTTAACTGATTTTATTTTTTATTTCTTTATTTCTAAAACCCTAACACACTTACCTAGCATTCTTGCCCCTAACTCTGGTCACATTATGACCAGCCTGACATACAAACTTGGATTGTGACTAGAATTTTAGTTTTAATTTTGGACCAAAGTCTTGAGTTCTGACCCGAATGCTGGCTGCTCCTGCTTCCAGATGGTCTCAGATACAGATTTCGCCCTTAAAGGGTTCTGGAAAGAACATTACAGCATCCTTCTCTGCATGGGGTTAATTGAGAAATCCTGGGCTAATGTCTCTCTAAGGACACTCAGAGCTGCCTGTGTACAGCAGAGAGACTTTGAAGGCCATGTGGAGGAGCCTAAGCCTTCAACTGATAACCTGAGTTATAACCATCCCTCAGGAATGAATTGAATTCATAAGTCAAGGATCCACTATACAGTGATAAAATTGAAGACTAACAAGTTACTAATTCTGTTAGGATTCACACATTCTTACTCATTTTTCAAATTATAGGACAAGACATATAAAAAAACTTCCATGTGTATCGCTCAATAGAGTAGTAAGAGGAATATAGTTATTTTCCCCATTTGTTTTGGATCAGAAATGCATCCCAGGCAGTAGTCACAAAATTATGTTTACCAGACAGAGGGGACTGAACCTCCTTGACTCTAGGTTTCCCTTATGGGGACGCTCACCTCTATTTCAGGCAGTGCAGCTGTAGACTGCAACACCTGGGCTACTGGAAAATTGCTCATACTCATTCACTTGACCACATGGAGAAACTGGAGGAACCTAAGGCTTCTCCCAGCATGGTGCCTGGTTCCCAGTGTTGGGTGAGGGTTATACCAGTTGCCTGAGCTCTCAAGTAATGTCCAACTAGTGGACTTTTCCAACCTTGCCTTGCACTGAAAAACACACGTTTCAGAGCTCAGTGCTAGAATGCTCACATTAGGCCCACGGTTCATTCCTCAATGTGGAAGGAAGGAAGGAAGAAAGGAAGCAAGGAAGGAAGGAAAGAAGGGAAAAATATAAGTTCTCAGAAGAAGTATTTTTTTCTGCACACATAAGAAACAAGTTTTCCCTACTGCCTCGCAAAAGACTCCAGCTCATTTTACAGCATTGATTTCCTAGTTCAGGCTTTCTACAGAGTCATTTATTGTAATAGATGTGAGCAAACTCATAGTCTTGATGAAAGAGAAGTGAATTCAGCCTTACAGTGAGGGTCATTCCATGAAAAGAAGAATGAGGGAGATTTGTGAAATATTTAGAACCCATCTTCAAAGGTGAATGTGGCATATGACTTAGACATTGTAGATATGTGATCCATTTACTGCTTGTTTACTACACGAAACTGAATTCTTTTCCTATGCTGTGTACCATATAATAGAAAATATAAATGGCAATTGTCAAGTCAACCCTTGGTGTTCTGTTTATTGATTCAATCAGCTTTCATATGACTGTACACTGTCATTTATAACTTCAGTTGATGAGATTCAATCCTCCTAGGACTCTTTATAAAGCAGATAAGCATTTAAAGGGAAAGATATAAAGAAGTAGAAATTAGAAAACTGTAGATCCATTCCATGTAACTAGCAATACGATACCATTCGCTGACATTGTTTTCATATTCTTGTTTGAAATTTGTACCTATTTTCCTTCTGAATTGACTGTTTACTCACAGTGTCTCCTAACAAAGTGCTTGTTTTATAAAAATAAATTGAGTTACTAAAATCTCAAACCAAGAGCAGAATCTTAACCTTTACTTTACTCACTGTGTTTAAATTATCACTGGATCTCATGTGCTAATAATGCCTGTTTTTTAATCTGACCTCCCGTTACCTGATGTTGTTACCCATTTTCCCTTAATCTGCATCTGAGAAGTAGTCCCTAAAAGTGCTGTTGACCCAGTTCCTCTCATACAGATCACCTTAACATGTCACTAGGACTTCCTGAAAATATAGAGCAGATCTCAGCGCTCTGTGCTTCAACTATTCAAATAGAATTAATTCCAAATCCCTCTGCTTACTCAGAAAAACTCACCTCTGTGGCCATGCTAACCTCTCTGGTTTTCCTCAGTCTCTCTCCTCCTTGTCACTGTCCTTCCTGCCCTCTCCCTCCACTCTTCCGTCCTCCACCTCTGGGCACTTGCTCAAGTTACACATTTTTACATTTATTTATTTTCTACATCTATCTGAAGAAAGGCCAAATTCATCTCCTATCTTCCCCGCAAACTTTCTGTATTCAAAATTCAGAATTAATCTTTCTCACAAACACCACATGCCCCAAGCAACTACTATATCTATTATACCATCAGAGCTCCATAATCTTTATAAGATTCTGAGCTGCAGAAAGATTTCAAAAATTAACCTTGCTAGGTTTCTTTTTTTAAATTCTCAAACTCAGCATAGAATTCAATGTATCCTAAACAGAGAACTCTGGAAACAATTTTGATTGAATCAACTGACCACACTCTATCATGATGCTCTTCTGGCTTCTTCCAGGAACATGGGATACCCATCAACATGGGCTATGCTGTGGCCCCACATCATTCAGGGGTCTACCCTGTTCATATTCAGCTGTATGCGGCTTGGAAGAAGGTCTGGGGTATTCAGGTCACCAGCACTGAGGAATATCCACATTTGAAACCCGCACGGTACAGAAAAGGCTTCATCCACAATAGCATCATGGTGAGAACATACTGCCGTATTGTTTGAAGGTTTTCAGTATCAATCTGTGGAATGAGCCCAGATTGCCATTAAGTAATGGGATATATATATAGGGATATAATGCCAAATCTCTTTTACAAGATATCAGATATTCCCACTGTACCACTGCGGTGACTGCTCAGACTTTAACGTGTGATTTGGCTGTAGCCTTGCTTCTGAAGCTGTGGAATGGCTTAACAGGTCTAAGACAAGTTGGAAATACTGAGAAGGAATTTTGTATAGCTTATCTATTGAAGTTTCGGGATTGAAATTTTGGCTGTGGATACTGTAACCTTCTTTGGAGGCATTTATTAGTACTGTTTGTTTCACTGGTGTTACAGAGCAATAAAGGCAGATGTACTTCTGTGGATCAAGAAAACACCTCTCAAATTGCTATTAACAGACAGAATGAAACAAATATATTCTGAGAGCTAAATCTATCCATTCAGTTTACTTTGGCTTTCAGACACTTGGAATGTTTAGGATATAGATCTTTCTCATCATTTTCTTGTGTACTCTAAGAAAGATGGTACATTTTCATTGAAAACATAACAATAATCTGATTTAAGAATGCTGTACCAGTTGTTACAAATGATAATAAAACCAAATGAATTCAGTTGAGAATTTATAATTATTGACTAGAATAAAAAGTGGTAGCATTCACTTTGATGCAAAATAGCCTCTTTTAAAATGTCTGTCCCCATTTCCAGTGCCTCAAGCGATATTCTTTTCATTACTGGTCAAATCAGAATAACAGTTTGCAAAATTTCTCTCACTCTTAAATATTTACCCTTTTTCATATATTGCTCGTATTGCTACTAGAATTGTCTTTTGTTCCATCTATCTGACAATCAATCTATCCATCTAAACTCTATTAAAACAAAAGAAAAGGCACACCTGCCTAGTTAGAGCTGGTTCTTAATACTCATTTATCATGAAATTTTAATTATTTTCCTGTACATTTGAAGGAAAAGAACCTACAATTTAAATAAGCCCATTGTTATTGCAAATAGTGTCACATTTCCATAGAAATCTGAGAAGTATTAAAAACTCTCATAATATAAAAGTGACAGTATATAGTTTTTTCTTTATTGGGCTGTATGACCACTCAACACGTTATGAAATAAAAATATGTCTTTTAACCAATATTACATGCATTTCTATTACTTTGAATTTAACACAAACTATTATGAAAATTAAATAAATAGTAAATAGAATTATAGCTAATCTGGGCAATTGGATGCATTTTTTTCACTAGGTTATAAGTGGTTTATTACTCAAAATAAGTTTTTAGAATGAAACTACTTATTTGCTTTCTCCCTTGAACATTCAGATTTACAACAGAATTAACTGTAAGGTATACCAAAAATAATCATCTGATGATTGGACTACTGCTGTGATAAAACTTGAATTCAGAGTGCAGTAAAAACCAAACAAATGTGGAATCGGTGATGAAAATCGACTGGTTTGAATTCCAGAACCTGAAGACAACACAAGACTGAATGTCAGAAGGAAAGGAATGTTCTAATAAAGTGAAAATGTTACCATGGAGCCCATTTTTTTTAATTAAATTAACCTGAAGATTTTTTTTACATCAACTCTTTAATGTAAATCAGGGGGTAGTTAGATTTATAGAACTGAGCAAAAAATCCTTAACCTTAGTTCTTGTATCTGTAGTCCTGATTTCATTATGGGTTGGGCCTTAGCAACCAAGAAACTCCAGTAGGAATTCATAACTTGCAGACTCTGAATTTATGAGACAGTATGCAGTTCTCAATTAAATCATGCCAATGTGTTGTGTTTACCTCCCTTTTTCCTCAGGTCCTCCCTCGACAGACCTGTGGATTGTTTACCCACACTATTTTCTACAAAGAGTACCCAGGAGGACCCCAGGAATTAGATAAAAGTATCAAAGGAGGCGAACTTTTCCTTACAATCCTTCTAAACCCAGTATGTATTCTATTTATGCATCTTACAATAGCATCAGTGTTTTCAAATGTTTCATTTTCACATTTTAAAACTAAATTAGCTTTCTTTTCTTTATGGATAGCACATCTTTACTCATAGTGAATTTAAATCAACAAATTAAATTTTTTTCATAAAATTTGATTTCTATGGAGACTTACTTTTTGGTACATCTGATTACAACGATACAGCTTTTACTTCATAATAAGCTAATTCCTAGTAACAAAAGAAATGTTAAGTCTTGCATTTTTTAAACCTAGTTCTTTGTTTTTTCTCAGTTTTATTAAGGTGTAGTTGACAAAAATTTGTATATAAAATTATGTATGCTGCTTGTAAATGTGACAATTTTTCTTCCTTTCCAATTTTGATGCCTTTTCTTTCTTTCTTTTGCTTAATTCTTCTGGCTAAAATATAATACAGTGAGTACTACTTTGGATAGCAATGGGGAGTGTGGGCATATCTAGTTTATTTTTTATCTCAGAAGAAAAGTTTTTAGCTTTTCATCAAGTACAATGTCATTTATGGGTTTATCATCTATTGCCTTTATTATGTTGACGTATCTCATTTGTTGAGAATTTTAACATGTAAAGATGTTGAATTTTGTTAAATGCTTTTTATGCAACTGTTGAGTGATTGTGTGACTTTAGCTTCATTCATACTGTTAATGTGGTCATGACTCGCATATGTTGAACCACCCTTTCATCTCTGTGCTAATCTTCACTGTGAAAAAAGGATTCTGCCATATACAATTAACTCTGGTTGGATAGTAATTTTTATTGAGCATTTTTCCATCTAAATTCATGAATGATATTGGCCTATAATTTGTTGTTGTTATAATTATGTCCTTATCTGTCTTTAGTATTGGGGCTGTTTTGACCTCATAAAGTATGTTTGGGTATTTGCCTCTTCTTTAATCTTTTGGAGGAATTTGAGAAGGATTAGTGTTCATTCTTCTTCATTCATTTGGTAAAGTTCACGGGCGGTGTCACCAAGTCTTAAGCATGTCTGTGTGGAGAGACATTTTATTACTGATTTCTTCTCCTTTCTCACTGTTGGTCCATTTAGATTTTCTACTGTTTCATGATTCTTTCTTGGTAGATTTTTAGTTCCAGGAACTTAACTCTTTCTTCTGGGCTAACAAAATATTGGCATATAATCTTGCAGAGGACTCTCCTTTGATACTTTGTGTTTTGGTGGTATCAGTTGGTATGGTTCCTCTTTTATTTTTTATTTTATTTATTTGAACATTCTCTTTTTTATCTTATTCCACTTGAAGATTTATTGATTTTTGTCTTTTCAAAAATCCTACTTTTAGTTTCATTGATCTTTTCAATTGCTTTTCTAGTGTCTGTTTCCTTTATTTCTGCTCCAATCTTTTTGTTAATTCCTTCTGCTGACTTTGTGCTTAGTTTGTTCTTCTTTCTACTTTTTCAATGTGTGAAGCTGTTATATGAGAATTTCTTATTCTTCATATAGATAATTAATGCTATAAATTTCCTGCTTAGATCCACTTTACAACTTCTTCACAAGCCTCGTTGTTAAATTCTAGCCCTAGAAGAGAGAAATTAGACTGTGGCTCCAAATAATTGCTACCCTTCTGATTAGAAACAAAACCCCATATTTGTTAAGCGTGTGTAGAATACAAAATCTAAGTGTAGTTCTACATCCCCATCTTGGTTTCCATTCTTAAATTGTAGTAAAGATATATCAGTATATGAAGTCCTCTAGCCAATAACTTTACTAATGGTACATATTTTGTCCACCAGTTGAATTTGTTTTTGTTCTGAGATATCAGTACACTCCGGCTCCAGTATCTAAAAATAATCATAATGCTGAGATTCTTTGAAAATGTATGACTACTTACATGTTGTTTGTATACTTGAGGATCCTAAGGTTTACTTTTTAATTTTCACTAATTTTATTTGGGGTCAAAATTAGGGAAATTAGCCTTTCTTTCTTTCACTGTGTCCTTTCATTTCTCAAACTGTGCAATTCTATGTGTAAAGCAGCAGCAGGTGGAAACGTATTATCATTATCTCATGTTAGGATTATTTTACTTTTTGGATTTTTCTCTCATGATGATTTCATCTTTGAGGTCTTGGAGAAATATATTTTAATTTACACCCCCAGTGCACACAGAAAATGTGAGATAATGGGATTTGTGTTATACTCTCCTTGTTTAATGTAAGAAATATTCACATGTAGAGGAAAAAATGCATATTTGAAATAAAATTATAGATTAATTTTCTGCAGTAAAGCATCAGGTATGTTCCAAATAAATTTTTGTTTAAGATATATATATATATATATATATATATATATATATATTCATGAAAAGTTCAATAAAAGACCACATTATATAAAAATTAAAAACCAGATTGGAGGGTTAGGGAAGTAGGGTAAAAATGTTTTATGTTTTATAAGAATGAGAGTAATTTAAAAACCTTCTCAAATTGTATTATGAAAGTAAAAAGAAAAGCATGTTGGACTGGAGTGTTGCAGTGGCACAAAGCATGTTGGAACAGGAGCATAAATGCTTTATGTTTAGCGAGAATCTTTACTGCTCACATTTGTTTGTTCTCTTGAACTAATCGAGCTGAAAAATCTTCAGTGTGCCTCAGAGCATCAAATTTAAACCCAAGATATTCCAATATTTTGGTAGATATTGTAAATTTTATATCTTTTGTATATATTTTTAAACATGCCAAGAACATTAAAAAATAATTTGGAAAATTATTGTGTGCATGTAATATTAAGAAGAACAAATATGGAAACCTCTTTTTTTTTTACTCCTGTCACTGAGACTTTAATGTCAAACTCAACTGCAAAGATGAGAATTACTGCAGCAGGTCATTTTCACTCTGAGGCTATGTTCTTGATCTCATATTTTTCCTAGCATCTCCACGGAGAAGTCAAGAACCAGCAGAACATGGACAGTTGCCTTCCCTAAACCTCTTGTCTGATGTGTGATTGCTGTAAGGTTTTACTAGTTGGATGGCCATCTAACTACCTGTCCTAAAAGGCATGGATTTAAATCTCTGTAAATCTTTAAAAGCAATACCCTTCACAGAGCATCATTATAAGATTTAAATGCAGTAGTTTAAATAAGCTTATTTGGTTTGTAGTAGTCTGTCTTTAGCACTTCTGAATTAACAACACTACGTGGCCCACTCTAAACCACACTAAATAAACTTATTATTGCTGGGCATGGTGCACACAGCTCTGGTCCCGGCACTCCTGAGGCAAAGACAAAAGAATCACCTTCAAGGCCAGTTTGGTAATTTCACGACAGCCTGGACTAGAGAGTGAGACCCTGGCAAAAAAAAAAAAAAAAAAAAAAAAAGCTTACCATTTCTATGCAAATACAGAACAGTAAAAGATGAGAGTTTCAGGAATCATCTTACATCCAATTGTAAATTGTGCTTGCTTTAGCATTATTAATTAATAATGAATTTAAAATAGGGTACGTGACTAAATAAGAGAAACTGTAATAGAAAAGTACAAAAATCAGTGCTGGAGATGGACAGTGATGTGGACAAGATAGTACATCCTAATGTGACAATATGAAGACTGAATTAGGCAAACTGTGGCCCAGAAAGGTGTGTGATTAAGGACGAATTTTGTTTAAAGCATAAATAGTGTTATAAGCAATATAAATAGGTGTTACTCAGCTCTCCAGGGAGAAAGGGTGCATAGGCAGCACGTGATAGAGTTCAAGTCAAATGGAGCTTAGTTGCAGGGTTGCGTAAACAGAAACTATCGGGTGTACCATGCAATAGAAACAGAATCAGTAGGAGATACAGACAGTGACAGAGAGAATTATTATAAGGAATTGGATGGTGCAAAACTGAAGGCTGACAAGTTCCAAAATGTAATATACAGTTAGCATACTAGAGACCCAGAAAACCCAGTGGTATGATTCCAGTCTGAGACTAGACACCTGAGAACCATAGGAACTGATAAGATACAGTTCCAGGCCAAAGGTAGTAGTCTCAACACCCAGGAAGAGCTAAGATTTCACTTATAATGGCAAGACAGGAATAACAAAATACAACTCCCAAACTTCAATATACATTAGCAAGAGGAAATTTCCTCTTATCCATCATTCTGGATCAATTCGGGGCTTCAGGTGACTGGTAGAGGCCAGGTCACATTAGAGAGGGCAATCCGCTTTACTCTGTGTATATCTAGCAGAGGGATACATATGTCATTCACAGCCTCGTGGACCAAATATCTGGACATCCCATGTCTCAGTCAAGTTGACGTACACAATTCACCATCATATTAGATCAGATCCAAATGTGGGGAGCCAGCTGGAGGGCAGCAAAATATAATGGGGAAGACATAAAGGAGGAAATGATAAATGAAAAAAATAATAAGCTTGGAATTCTGTAGTACACATGTCCTCTTGTGAATAGAGACACACTGTAAGCAATGGGCCATGATCAATACTTACTTGCTAATGTTGAGAACTATTAAAGCTGTTTAGCTAATTTTTTTTTTTGGTTTTTCTCCGGTACCGGGAATCGAACTCACAACCTTGCGCTTGCCAGGCAGGTGCTGTGCCGCTGAGCTAAACCCCCAGCCCCTAGCTAATTATTATTAAAAGTCTGATGGCACCAACAGTCTAGCAAGGAACAAATCTCAGAATGTGATGAGGAGAAGAAATGAGAAAAAGGAACAAAAAGCCTAACATAAGCCTTCTGTGTTCTATGCTTTTCTCCAATTATCATGTAATTGTTCATCACAGTAAAGAGTAACTGCACCAAAACAGTACTGAGGAAAATAACTATAAGTCCATTGAAGTAAGGACATGTTATTGATATGAGTTAAAATGTTGACTCAAAAGAGTATTTGCATTTAACAGAGCTGCTTCATGAAAGGGATGTAGTGGCAATTGCTTTATTTAGGGATCATTCAAAATCCCTTGAGGCTTTCTGTTATGTGGTAAGAAATCAACATGCATAAAATCATCCCAAGATGAC